ATTTGACGGCCGATCGCCATTGGAGGCAGACGGAGCTGAAGCGGACGATGTCGGCAATTTCGATGAGTTTGATGGCGATTGACCCCAGTAGCTCCGGAGGGAGGTGGGCCCAGTCTATTGCTCGGTGCGCCGCCATGAGGGAGGGGATTGAGGATGTATGTTAGGTTTAGGGTTAGGGTTTGGAGTGAGGTTGTTGAGGACGAAGAAGGCTGATGGAGTTAGGGTTAGGGTTTGGAGTGAGGTTGTTGAGGACGAAGAAGGCTGATGGAAGTGATCGGTGAGACTGCGGTGGTCGCGATAAAAGAGATTCGACCGTGCCCTTTTTGGGTTTGGATAAGGGCCTGTTTGTTTCGCCAAACCATGTAAAATTGAAATTGACAACGTCATGCAAATCATATTTCTTTGTAGTTCTATAGATTTCCTCTAAGTAGTTATTTTTTGTATAAAAATATAATTTTTATATTTCTTTAATTTTCTATGATTGGTTGGGGAGTTACGATTTGGAAAAGAAAATAACAAAGATCCAATTTCCAACATTACCTTTGTTTGGTTGGAGATAAAACATGATAGAAATGTAGAATGTGCTCACCATGGTAAGCTTACCTTCAAAACAAAGACTTCTCCAAAATGAATGCCAATATATACATGCAGCCGCAACCCAATGTACATAACCATCTCGAGGCCAAATAAATCCACATTTCAAACAATCAATGGCTATAAATTAGCTCAAAAACCAACAACAAGCTGAATAACATCAGCTCGAAGCTTAAAACCAACATCAACGTGATTGTAACAGCCCCAAAATAGCCACAATTTAGCTCAAAAACCAACAGCAATCTGAATAACACCAGCTCTTCGATAAAAACCAATATCAACGTGACTGTAAAGCTAAAAAACCAATAACAAGCTGAATAACATCAGCTCGAAGCTAAAAACCAACATCATAGTGAATGTAACAACCCCCAAATAACCATAAATTAGCTCAAAAATCAACAACAAGCTTAATAATATCAGCTCGTCGATAAAAATCAACATTGAGTTGATTCTAACAGCCGCAATCTGGCTATAATTAAGCCCAAAAACCATCAAGTATATGAATAGCACCTGCTCGAAGCTAAAAACAATCAACAAACTGATTGTATATGCCACAAACTGGCTAATTTAGCCCAAAAATCAACACCAATATGAACAACACCTGCTCATAACTAAAAACCAACAATAAACTGATTCTAACAGCCGCAAAATGACTAAAATTTTGCCCAAAATCCAACAACAACTTGAAGACAAAAGCCTCACAATGGCTATATTGTTGGCCTTCTTGTTTTGATGATGTTTAACAAACAATTTACCACTAATATTGTTTGTCTAGTATTTGTGTTTTCTTATTTATTATAGACAAACAACGTAGTTGGAGGATGGATGGATTGCGCCATAACGATCATATCAAATGGAGGTTGGTGGAATGTCGGGTTGAAGTCTTGCAATTCAAAGTTAAAGATCAAGTTCAAGCTTCATCCGTATGTGTACCAAGTTGAGCTACAATGAAGATCAAGATCAAGCTTGGGTAATCTAGTTTAGATTTTATATTATGTGTGTTAAGTACCTTAAGCTCAACATCATATACACACACGTATTTGGTTTCTATGTATATATATAGTTGTATATATATAGTTATATATATACATGCATGGTTTTGAGTTTTTATGCTTTGGACACACTTGCAAAATACATGAGTTTTCACAAATAGAAATTCAATTTGAGAAATTTTTTTCTAACATGTTTGTTTTCATGTTTATAAACATTTCGTAAAGTTTCATCAAGTTTGGAATTGATTTGTTATGTTTAATGGAATTTACAAAATCATGTTTTTTGTTCGTGCACATGTTCGTGCATGTTTTACAAAATAGATGAGTTTTCGTAAATGGGAAGTGGTATTCAAGAAATTCTTTCTTTGACATGTTTATCTACATGTTTAGAGACTTTTCTCAAAATTTTACTATTTTTGGAGTTGATTTACTGTGCCCAATTGATTTTACAAAATCATGTATGTCAGCAGATTTTCAGAAACGGTATATCTGTGTTCAAATATTTATTTCTCTCAAATGAGAAATGATTTTTCATAAATTCTTTCTCTAACATGTTCATATACATGTCTAGAACCGTCCCTCAAAATTTCATAAGTTTTGGAATTGATTTATTATTTTTAATTGATTTTACAAAGTCAGATACGCAAATTTCCAGAATGCTGGAATTTGGGGTATTTTGGTCTTTTCAGCCTATAACGGCTAGTAACGGCTAGTTTTTGATATTTTCGGTTTTTGGGGGTTTGTGGCTGGTTTAAGAGGCTATAAAAAGCCCTCAACTTTCATTATTTCTTATGGATGTTTAAGAGAGTTTTAAAAAGAGTTTTACAAGTTTGTTGAAGGGTTTTTAAGTTTGTTTCAAGAGTTTGTTTATGAAGAAACTTTCACAAGAGCTTGAGGAGAATCTCTTGTTATCTATTGAGAAGTTTTCTAAACTCTTTTCTAGCTTTATATTTATTTGTTTGATTATCATCTTATTAAAGCTAGTTTCATATTGAGTTTAGATTTGATTAATCTCATTGTTACACACACCCACTTGAGCTTATTGTATTTGCATTCGTAATATATTTAGGGTTGTGAGAGATAGTAACATTGAGTTGAGCCTAATTGAGTTCTCACCTTATTTAGAGAACAATCATTTGTTAAGGTTTTCGGTGAGCTAGAAACCGAGTGTGTTGTGAAGTTTTCGGTGAACTAGAAAACCGTATTGTGAGGGTGGAGTGTAGCCACATTGTGAGAGTGTATAGTGTAGATCTCCTCGAGGTGAGGAGCGGAGACGTATGTCGTGGGGACCGAACTCCGTAATCATATCGTTTGTTTGTGATTGTATTAGCGCACTTAGTTTTATGTTCATATATTATATCGCCTTTGTATATTGCTTGTTGATTATATTGCTTACTATCTAGTTTAGATTGTTTATCCTTGTGTTAATTATATATCCTTTGCACATACATTGCCTATATCTCTTTGCTAGGATATATCTCTTTGTGTATATTGCATATTCTTGCCCATAGTAGATTGTATACCTATCTTGCAAGAACATAACTTGTTAATTAATTTTAATTGGTATTTAATCGGATTAGATTAGCATAAGACTCTAATCACCCCCCCTCTAGGGTCTAACAGGGGAGTGGACGGGTGCGATCATACCAGCACTAATGCACCGGATCCCATCAGAACTCCGCAGTTAAGCGTTAATCGCCTTGAGTTAAAGATCCAAGTTATATTTTTGTGCTAATCTTGTTTTGATTGCATTTGTATCTTGCTTGCATATTTTTTACAAATCATGGATATGAATGATGCATCTTGTTTAGGCTATGATTCTAGTATTGCTCCTAAATTTAATGTTTTCCCCTATGCTCAATGGTGTTTTAGATTCAAAATATTTGTTCAATCTAAAAATATCGATTTATGGGAAATCATTGATTGTGCTTATATTGTGCCCACGTTGGAGAAATCCAAGTGGAGCAAACATGATAAAAAGATGTTTATTATGAACAAGCTTATGTTAGAATTTTTATTAAATGCATTTGATTCATATATGTCTAACAAGCTTGATTCTTTTGATAGTGCTTACACCTTATGGAAATTTATTGAAGCACATCAAGGAGACTTGGAGGTGATCCGACAAGCTTTGGAGGATCCCGCTTCAAGTTCATATGGAGCTTCATGCACACGAGCACTAGGCGATAGCCCTAGTGAGGTTTGCGAGTTCGAAACCTTTAATGATTTACCTAATGATGAACTTGCTAGTGCTAGTGAAAAATTATTGCATGCCTTTAACAAATTGCAAAATGATTTTAATGATTTAAAAAGCAAGCATGATGTTTTAGAATCCAATCATGAGGAGCTAGTGTCAAAATTGGATGTCATTGCAAAAGAAAATACCATGCTTAAAGAAAATAATGACATGTTAATTTTGGAAAATAAAAAATTAACCACATCTATAACTAGCTTATCTCATGAAAAAGATAATGCCAACTTAGAAGTAAAGAACATACAAAATAATACTGCTTCCTTTATAAATAATTATTTATGTTCTACTTCTAAAAATGCATATGTGCCTAAAAATGAAGATTTGAATCTTATGAAAAATAGTATTTCATCTTTAGATTCAACTTTGAGAACATGCATTAATAATCATAAGAAGCTTATGGATATGTGTGCCAAGTTTAAGAAATCATCATCCACTCATTATGCACACATGTATAGCAAAACTTATAAGTGTTCTATATGCGGCCGTCAAGGTCATTTAGCTAAGTTTTGTTATGATGCACACAAACATAAAAATGTCAATGCTCCTTATGCATCTCATGTAGCTTCTTCATCACTTACACATTCACATGCTCTTTCTCACAAAGTTCATCATAAGCATGCTAGTGTGTTCAAGTGTGATCATTGTGGTCGTTTTGGTCATTTGGCTAAATATTGCTTTGATTTGAAAAGAAAATCTCATTTGACAAATGCTTCCAATAGACCACATGTTTTTAAATGTGATGTTTGTGGTAGGTTTGGACATCTTGCAAAATTTTGTTTTGATATACAAAAAGCTTCTAAATTGCAATATGTTCCAAATAGACCATTGTTTAAGAATGTTTCTCATTTGCAAAATAATTTTAAAAGAAAATCTTTATTTACAAATGATTCCCGTGCATGAGCTAATGGTCCACAAAAACAAATGGATCTCTTTCATTGCACAAATTGCAATCGGAAGGGTCATTTGAATGAATATTATTTTGACCATGTTAGTGAACCATATGTGCCCAAGAGGGTTCATAACCCTAGGGCTTTGAGCTTGAATGATAGGGGTCATGTCCCTAAATCTTTTGGTACCAAGAGTTCTTGGGTACCAAAACAAATTTAATTTTTAAACCAAGAATTTTAGAGTTTTTATTTTCCTT